TTTTATTTATAAAACACCCTTCATACTAAAAGCAGCTCAAAGTGCTGTACAGTGCCTTTTATACTGGTGAGTTATTTTGATGAAATGACTGATATCCAATATTTAACTTTATTGCTAATATCGTCCGATACCAATACCTTGCCGATAATATCGTGCGTCCCTAGTAATAATACTTCTCTCTATAAAAAAAAAACTATACAAGTTAAAGCTGATTTTATTCAGTGCATTGATACCTTTTTATTATTTGAAATAATTTTTGTGTATTTTGTCTTCAACAATACCTGTATAACTCACCTGTACTCGAGCTTCCTCGCGTCATGCATCTTCTTGGCCAAATAAGCAGCCTACATCAAAAAAGAAAAAGATGGAGCCAAGGTTTTAAAGTACATTTCATAGGAGTCCTGCAAAAACTCTTAGCAAAATTCTGGAGATAATACTTCTGTGCTTTTGACAGTGAGAAGACAAATATGTCACAGTACCTGGGACAAACTCCAAGTTTTGTTTTGCACCTCATCCAAACGGGAGATGTTGGCTTTATCCAGATTAGACAGAGAAACGCTGCGAAGTAAAGGTCCAGACAACTTCTGCAGCAGCTCAGAGACGGTCATGTTCCTCACAAGCTACAAAAAAGAATGAAATGATAACGATAATTAACACGAATGCCAGCTCAAATATTACTAATAACTGAAATAAGCAAATAATTTTGTGTATGTAAACCTTCATTATTCTCTTTTTCTGCTGCTTCCTTCATACTCACCCCCTGAAGCATGGCCTTCAGCTGCCTCTTTTCCATTTGCTTGGTGATGTTAGTCAAGGCCTCCGAGTCTGCCAGGAGTTCCCGAGCCTTTATGTTCTTCAGCGCACAGCTCGGCAAACCTGCTGCAACTGACTGAAGGGCCATCACATCCTCCGTCGTCACGTTGCCACACTGAAAAGAACCAGAGTGAGAAAAGGATGGAGATCTCAACAGACACAGAGGAGCAGTCATCTCTACAGGCTCACCTTCTTAGAACCCAGCTGGTTCTTGGCCAGAGAGCGCAGCTGGCTTCGTGACCATTCAACACTGGAGCCCAGGTTTTGAAGAGCATCTTTAAGATTGTCCTTAGGGAGGTCGCTCAGTTGTTTGGGTGTCAGTGAAGTGACGTGTTGACCCAGGTCACGCAGAGCTTGAGCGCTGATGGGACCTGACAACATGCTGCTGATAATGTCCTTCTTCAGCTTCAGTCAGAGAACAGGAAACAAAGAGATTCAAATCTGCCTCTTCAGACAAGGAACATTCAGGAAGAGTGGAAAAGATGAAATACCTTTTCGGTTGTGGAGCCGTCACAGGAATCAAGCTGAGTGAGGAGCTTCTTGCTGAGGTCAGGAGTCAAATTTGAAGCAGCCTTGTAAAAACAAGCCAGCGGGCCGAGACTGGGGAGGGTCAACAGTAATGACTTGTTTCAACTTTAACTCAGTTTAGCTTTCCCTCATGCCACATTTACAGCCATAAACATGAAGGGCAAAAAAAGCAATTGATTTCTAGAATGAATTGTGCACTTCAAAGTTCTTCCAAAAGATTCTGTTTGAATGCACTGATGAAAGAATACTCACTTATCTATTTGGTTTGGAAAATCCTTTGGAGTGTAGCACTGCTGAACATTTTGGAGAAACTTCTTGGCCAAGCTGGGGCTTATCCTCGTTGCTTTACTCAGGCTGGATTTGAGCTTAGCAGAGCTGAAATAGTCACACAGCTGGAAAACAAAGTGAAGAAACCCATTAAAGCTGAATGAGAAAACTGTTGAAAAGTCCATTTTCTTCTTTTCAGCAACTCACAGTGTCTTTGGAAGCAGAGTCAAGATCATTTAGTGGTAAACTGGAGATGTAAGGCCCAATCATATTCAGTCCGTCCACATTCAGCCATTTCAGCGTCGGTTTGCAGATATCCAGCATTTCTGTGTAATAAAAAAGCTTGAATAAGTCACTTTATCACTGAACAGAAAAGTAAGAACAAATGAGATTCAGTGCAGAAGGGTTTGGTGTTTATTTTGTGATTCTTTAAGCTAGAGGTGTCCAAAGTGTGGCCCGAGGGCCATTTACGGCCCTTGGAGTGATTTTGTGTGGCCCATGACTACAATTAAAGAACGGTATCATTTCGACCCACAGGTTGAAGAGGTTGATGCAGATGTAGACCTTTAGATTTAATGGTGATACTTTTTAAATTTTTAGGTTTAACAGCAAAACAGCTTAAAATAATCTTCTCAAAATGAGCGATGTTAAGTACAATACAAATATTTAGCTATAGTTAATCTTTTTATCCTACAACAAACCTTCACTGACCAAAAAGTAGAATTTTGGATAATAATTCATGTAATTTGGCTAAATATAAAAAGTGTTTAGGAAGAAAATAATTTCAGTTGATTTTAATAATCGATGGGGAGAAATTTTACATTTTTAAAAGAATATAAAGTGGTATCATCGACATACAAGTTGATCAACGTTATCAGTGTCCCTTCAAACCTTCCATGAATCTGAACATGACTGTCGATGAGGAAGAGGGCCGGCACAAGAGGAGGGTGCGTGCCAAAGACACCATCTTAGCATCAACATAACTGGTTTGTTCCACTATGGAGTAAGCTGTTGGGGGAAGAATCAGTTTTGTTGTGTGTTTCCTTGACTGATGAAGCCTTCTGGATAGAAGGTGAAACGTTTCAGCAAAAAAAGAAACTGTCCAGATGACCTGACTGAAAATTGTTGGCTTCCATGAATCTGTTTTAGCGACTGCCATCTGGAAGGTTGTTCAGAACTTCCATGACCCTTTTGGGCTGTCCATGGTCCAAATGGGTTTTTTCAAGTTCCACCCCCTTTTTTTTTTAATGAACAGTTACTCATTTTAAGCTTTTGTCTCTGAAAATAAACAAAAAAATGAATTTTCCAAGCATAAGAAAACAAATAATAGACCCCCCCCCCCCAAAAAAATCCAATTAATTAAATTAGTTAAATAAATAAATGAATTAAAAAGGTTAATGTTTATGAGTCTCCTAATGTTCTGGAGCTACAATAATTTAAACTAAACTTATAGCTTTCTCTAAAATATTGTTCAAGTTGTTGAGTTGAAAAATGAGGGGGGGTGGGGGAGGATCATACTTTTTAAACTTTTTCTTTTCTTAAATTCAAAATGTTCTCGCCCACAGGTCCTTTCATTTAGACAGTTGTATGAAAACGTTTGGCCCTTAAGCAGCGCTACAGTGGAGCGTTAGGTTACACTTCGTTCTCAGTGAAGGAAACGACAGACGACAGGTCTCATGCAGCAGCCATGAATTCCTTCACCGGAATCTTATTTTCAAAACGAGCACATTTGCGAACACACATGCATTACAAACGTGCACTCGTGCTGCGACTTGCAAAAGTGTCGACCAAACAACAAGCAACTGCCATGACACACCTGCTTCTTGCTGTTTTGTCCAGATTCACGTCAAACCTTTTCTTTTGCCTGCATGTTTGACACAACAGTCCACGCAGAGACTAACCTGTATAAATAAAGGTTGACTGAATGAAACTTGCTTTGAATGATGTACAATTTATTTTTATTTTTTGCACATTTCTCTAATTCATGTTTTGTTTTTCTCATCTCGGTGTTGCTCGTTTTGTCTGTAAGGTCACTTCTGCTTTATAATATTTTTTAAAGAACTATGGCTACCTATTCTCTTTTTCAATATGTTCTCTTTTTGTTCTTCCTCTTTTCTTGATATTTAAAATAAATGTGAACGCAGAAAACAAGTGACGTTTAAACTGGTAGCACGATGGGAAGAGATGTTGACGCATTTAGGATTATGATCAAATTGAGTTTGATGACGTGAGTCCACTTTTTCCACAAATGTTTCCAGTTTAACCAACGTTTCATACTTGATTTGGAGTTGGATGTTTTCTTCAGTGTACAGCTGAAGTTGTTCTGGAGGATTTGTTCTTTGGCCCAGTTGAAGACCTCCGTCCTTTGGTCCTCAGTCATGGTGTCGTACATCTCCTTCAGCATGTTCATCCTGGAGTCAAAAGCAGTTTCAGCTTTTAGAAGAGTTCATATGAGGCAGTGGATAAAGTTACTGCACAGCACGCTTACATCTTCCCCATGTTTTGGCTCTCGACTTTAGCGGGGAGCTGTGTTCTTGCTGAGGGTACATCTAGCAGCACAGATCTGGAAGCTAACAGCAGAGTGTCGTAGTCGTTTGAGTTACAGTTTCCACTCTGAGACGTCAAAGTCGCCCAGGACAGAGGAGCCATGAATGCTTCCACGTAGCACACAGAAAGGTTCTGCAGAAACAGAAAAAGATGGTTAAACTGATACAAACCAGCATCAAGTCTTAAATGAAACATGCTTTGATCCAGTTTACTGACAGAGGAGCCCCTCATTGTTTTTATCATGGCGGGGAGACTACTGCAGTTCCACGTGTTGCTTTTCTAAAAGACAGAGAAAATATAAGATGTTAAGAAAACCATTTTGACCACAAATACTTTCAAAAACAATTGCTCTTCAGGAGTCTCCACAGTGAGTCATCCTCCTCCATCTCTGTCCTCTGCATCCTCTGTCCTCACTCCAACTACCTCCATGTCCTCTCTAACTGCATCCATATACATCTCCTCATTGCCTTTTTGGTGATAAAGCTAGTAAACTAATTTGTTACACTTTTTGAAATTTCTTATGTGACTAAAGAGCTATTTCACAAACCCTAAATAGGGGATTAGGATGGTTTTTATTTGGTAATCCTGACCAAACTTAGTTACGTTTGATTTGATTTCACAAAAGCAGTGACACATAAATTGCCCCAAAGGTTTATTCTGTGCTGTCAGCTTGCTCCACTTAATCCTGAAATGAGTTTTTGTTGCCTAATAAGACAACCTGATCAAAAATGTCATACTTACTCAATGTTTCTAGTCTTATGTACTTTACTTTCTGAATATATTACAATGACTGGTAAAGTCACTGACAGCTAACATGGTTAGATTAAAACGGCTGCTCATGCTGAGATTAGTCATACAGAAATATTTCTACAGCTGCAGGTATTAAGATGATCTTAGCTGCTTATCTTCAGCCTGGTCTGGTGTTTGTAAAAACCTGCTCTGACAGGGCTTGGTCGAGCCCAGATTTCTTCTCTTCTCTTGGATTGCTAAATTAGATTTTTGTGACATAATCCCATGGTTTTGTAATGAACTTGACAGTGTCAGTAATGCATGTGTGTGTTCACACCATCTTTTCAAAGGCATTCATGGCGAGCTGACCAAGTGGATTCTTGTTTGTGCCCCCAGTGACTGAATTCAGGACTTGGAGAAAAGTGGACTGAAAGGTGATGAACTGGTCAGGGGTTATTCTCCCAGCAGCCAGGTTACTAGAAACCAATGAGAGGTACAAAAAGGTTAGGTGATGGCATAGCTAAACTTTGTTTCTATAGTCATAAAGTAAAAAGACAAGCAAAAAGCACTTTGGGAAGTTAGCTTTAAGCACATCGAGCACAGAGAACTTTTAATGTTCCAGTTACAACCAAATGTTTTGTTCAGAAATGTAGAACTATTTAGCCTGACTCACAGTTTTGTAAAATGAGAAAAATATTTTTAAAAGGTTAGAGGAACTCTACATGAGAACAAGATTTGTTTTCATTTCAGTGCCCGGCTGCCATTTAGCTCATCTAATGATTCCAGAGAGTAGATGTAAAACTACCTGTTATTGAAGACACTGTTCAACAGCATCGTGGAGGGTGCAGGGTATCCTGTAACCACAAATCTTCTTAATTGCATGTTGCACAATGAACACACAAACATGAAAACAGGAGTGGTCTATTTGCTGTGCATGAGTTCTGACTCATATTACAGAGGATTTAGCCTGTTTTGTTTCACATCATGTATACGCCTAATATTGTAAATATTTGCATATATATATATATATATACTTCTTAAACAAATCAGTTCAAAACCTAAATCTGATTTTAAATCATACACAGAATAATTTAACTTAAATAAGCTTATTAAGAATCTTCTCACCTTTATCACGGCATTTCATCATCTGAAAATTAAAAGAAAAGTCTTGATTAGACATTTAGGGTGAGATATTTAGTTGTTTAAATTCTTTGGTCACAAACGAAACATCACAAACGTTATCTTGAGTGAGCTTTAAAACTCTATAATGTGATATTTAAAGAAAAACACCCTGGTGCTTTAGGGTTAAAACTAAAATAAATGCACAAATTGACATAATTGAGAAATCTTGCAGACGGGTGGAGAAAACGTGTGTCATAATAACACCGTGTGGTTAAAGGGTGGAGATGTGATGAAGATACTAATACATTCCTAGAAAGTTCTGGAAATAAATTCCTATATATTTTTTCTTTCTTTTCTTTCGGCTGCTCCCTTCTTCAGGGGTCACCACAGCGAAATAACTCGCACAAAGACTTGGCAATTGTTTTTACACCGGGTGTCCTTCCTGATGCAACCACAGACCAACGAGCTACCACAGCCCTCTGTGTGGAGCAGAGATCTGCTATCTAGGGCACCTGGGGGAGCAGATGGTGGGGGTTAAGGGTCTTGTTCAAAGACCCAGAGTGGAGCAAATGAGGGTGGAGGCAGGTGTGGATGTTTCACATTTCCCACCCACATTTTTTATGTTGTCAGTACGGGGAGTTGACCCAACGGCCTTCCGATCACAGGCCCACCGTCTCCAACCTCTGCGCCACCACTCCACCAATTTATCCAATATATATTCAGTTAAATTGAACTTTAGACTGAAAATGTGTGTCTTCAACTTGCATCATGACAAAGTTAGCTTGATGGACTTTAAAGTTATATTAAAATAAAAATGTTTTTTCACTTTAGCCTTCAGAAAAATTCATACCAGTTTTTTGGCAACGAAGCAAGCATCATCTGCAGACATCCCACCCGGAGGCTCGGCTGTGCGGACAGTAGCTATGAGACAAATTGGAGCAGATTGTAATCAGTAAACACTTTAACGCAGCAGGAAGGAGGCAAAATGAATGGAAGAGTTTGGTACAAACCCAGGACAACACAGGCCAAAGTGAGGACAAAGAAACATGGTCCTCCTCTTGGAGACATCGGGACGTCAGTCTGCAGGACACATTATATAAAGTGAACATTATTACACAAACCAACTAAGTCTGACACTCAGTTCCATCGTTTGATTTGAACTCTAATCATTTTAATATAGCTTGGTTGTTATGGAGCCCGTCTCCACGTAGGGAACCTCCAAGTTCTTTAATAAACTTCCTCCTCAGTGACTGTGATACTTCCCTGGTAACCTTCTAAGTTACTCGTCCTGAGGGAGACTTTGAGGACTTTTGAGGATAACGTGCATTGAAAAACAGATTAGTTAAAGTACAATGACGTTTTATTAACTGGTCTCGTTATCCTCACGGACATCCTTCGCACCGTGTTTGAACATTTTCCTGACATTTATACGGTGACATTTTCTGCTCAGGAGATTTGCATCCTGGTCTTTTGACAGATATTTGTTTGCTTGCTTTCCTGTTCCTTTACATCTAATTTAAATGAATCAAATTATCACAATACTAACCATTGTAATAATGTGTTTAAATATTGTGTTGTCCTAAAAATGATGCTGATGCAACTTTTTATCCCTACATTTACCTTTTACCAATTGATTAATAACACGTAGACAAGATATATTGTGTTTGCACAGGTTTGAACACAAAAATTTTCATTTTAAACTTTTTACAAAGACAACTAAAATAGAAACCTTAATGATTCATGGATGAATTAGGCATTACTTACAAATTAAGTGTCTTCTTTCTTGTAGACGTTACAAAAACATGCAATAAAAAAATCAAGGTGTAGACAGAGAGAGCTCTTCTCCAGCCTCCGTCTGGTCTGATCTGGATGGGCGTCTACCTGTACCGGCTTATTTAAAGCAGCTGGGTGACACGTTAGGTAGGAAGAAGAGACGGAGAAACAATGGGACAGAACATCTGAGTAATGCGTAACTGTGATATCATTTGTTGGAAAAATTATGAAATAACATTGTTCTCATTTTCTGTAAAACTGCCTTCTCATTTTACAATAAAATAGATACCCAATGATGAGAATCAATACAGTAAATGAGGTTTCTAAACATCACAGGCTTTATTTTTTGATTTTAATACAAAACACTTTTAAATTCTCAAATACTACGTTTATCAGTGGTAGTGGGGACATTCGCTGCCTTGCTCAAGGACACTTTGGCACGCTGCAGGGGCTGGGGATCTAACCCCCGATCCTCCAACTTGAAGATGCCCTCCACCTCAGTACCACTGAGCCACAGCTGATAAATTACACATACGGCGATCCGCCCCTGTATTAACCAAATTATGTCGCATAACCAAACAAAGCACTTTATCTCAGATCCTTTATGATAAAAGCAGGTAAACATGACCGCTGGGCAACAGGGACGCCAACATTAAGCTTGATGATAACAGTGGTAGGATGTAACTAAGTACAAGTACTTCATTACTGTACTTAAGTACACTTTTCGTGTATCTGTACTTTACTTAAGTAGAGTTAAACATGGGTACTTTTTACTTTTACTCCACTACATTTTACATTAAGTATATGTGCTTTCTACTACTCTACATTTCTATAATGTGTTGTGTTACAAGTTACATTCACGTTGCAACTTTTTTATTTGTTCGTTAATTTGAAAGTAACCAATGGCGAGAGGGGAGTTGGTCCAATGAATCACTGCAAAGTGGGCAGGTAATGTTAGACCCACCTTCAAGAAGAGCTGGGCCAATGACATATATTCTAGTATATATGTCATTGAGCTGGGTGCACCCACAGCACCGCTGACACACCCAAAATGTATTCCACTGAGGAAAGTCAGCCAGAAGACATGCTCCACCCATGGCCTTATTGAAAGTCTATTGAAAGACTGTTCAGTACAGCAGGACACCTCTCTCCCAAAATAGCCAAACTGGACTTAAAAAACTTTGAAAAACAACTTCTTCAGAACTTGAACAAGAAATTCTTGCTGCAATATTAAAATGTGTCAGTTCATGGATGTTAGGAGACTAGAGATGTCTATGACTCGACACTCGGGTCCAAGTTTTGAAAATGGTGTCAGGAAGTTAAAATATTGTTCATTATTGACCCATTACGAGATTGACTAGACAGTATTTTAACTAGAGTTGATGACAAACTGGAGTTGAAATGATCAGATATTCCTTTGTCAGGTCTAATGCTTCTGTTTTCAGGCAGACAACTTTTACTAAATGTTTTTACTCAAGTTAAAATGACACATTGGTTTCGCTTTGTGTTAAATAAAAACTTTCAAAAGGTATAATCATTCCTCTTTCTTATTTTGATTAATGGCATTTAACTCTGCATGTCATCCCTGAAATTAGGTCACAAAGAATCACAAGTCCAAGTGTGAACTGTGTCACAGGGTAAACACAATAAAAACATGTATTATCTGCAGCATTGTTCATTAAAATGACTCAACACTATTAATGCATTACAGAAAATATACATACGGTAGGCACACTTAATGATATTGTAGACCATTGCATTAGGTAATATATTCAGCAAGTACTTTTACTTTTAATACTTTAAGTATTTTTAAAAGCAAGTACTTATTTACTTTTACTTAAGTAAAAACGTTAATGTGGTACTTCTACTTTTACTAGAGTACATTTTTGTCTGTTTATTTGTACTTTTACTTAAGTACAGTTTGAGGACTTTCTCCACCACTGATAAAAATGTATCAGTGACTGTGAGTTTTGCAAAACTTGTCATAAGAATATTTTATTAGTGTTAATGTTAACCCCACCAAGAATATTTAAATACACTGATCCATGTGTTCAGCTTTAATGACTGTACGCCTAAAATTTACAGAGGAAAACGTCGTGAGAATGAGTTTAGTATTCAGCTATGACTGATTAAACGTGCAGATACTTCATTGCTCCTGTCAAACAGGTTACACAGAGTGGAGCGGTCGACCGTTCCAAGATGGCGGACCTACGGCCGGTGTTTATATCTATGCCTGGAAGTAGCTCTTTTAGCGCATGCGCAAATGAGCTGATGGTACGGAGCGTGCCTCCGGAATCTGCTCAACGATGGGTTTGGAACGATGCCAAAACATCCAGGAACTTCTGTGACGCAACAAAGCTTCACTTTTGTTTGATAACAAGATGACAGGATGACGTTTGTTTGGAAAGACGTCAAATCAGAAAACATCCGGGACCTGTGATGTCACATTAACGTATCAAAGGCCAGGCAACGATGACGCACGTCAGAGTTTAATATACCATACCATACCATACCACTTTATTTATAGAGCACTTAAAACAGAGACAAGGCCAACCAAAGTGCTGCACAGACAAAACAACAGGTAACACACAAAGCAAAATACAAAATGAGGTAAATCAGAACATAGACATAAAAACGATGCAGATAATGACGACAAACCAGTGTGGAGCGTACAGGATCAAAACACAGATCATCTGGTGTTGAAAGCTACTCAATAGTAGTGAGTTTTTAAACAGGACTTGAAAACCGAGAGGGAGAGGGCCTGTCTGACAAGCAGAGGTAACTCGTTCCAAAGTCTTGGTCCTGCTACAGGGAAGGCCCTGTCACCTCTGCGCTTAAGACAAGTTCCTGGAACTGTGAGGAGCAACTGGTCCGCTGACCTCAGGGAACGTGGTGGGACATACGGTTGTAGCAGATCAGAGAGATGGGGGGGGAACTGTTCAGTGATTTGTAGACATACATGAGTATTTTGAACTGGATTCGAAAGAACTGATAACAAGTGCAGTGAGGCCAAAACTGGTGTAATGTGCACTCTTTTGCCTGTACTGGTTAAAAATCGGGCTGCTGCATTCTGGACCAGTTGTAGTCGTGCAATGGAGGTCTGACTGATACCAAACAGGAGTGAATTGCAGTAATCAGGCCTAGATGTAATGAATGCATGTATTACTGTCTCCAGGTTATTTTTGGACAATATGGGCTTCAGTTTAGACAGCCGCCTCAGTTGGAAGAAACATGATTTAACAATCATGTTTACATGATTGTTAAGTATCAGGGAAGGGTCCATTATCACTCCCAGATTAGTGACTCCTTGTTTTTCTGACAGGGTTAGAGCGGAGAGGTCGATGCAGTGGTTTGTGATAGTGTCATTGGGAGGGAACAACATGACTTCAGACTTCTTTTCATTGAAACTTAAGAAGTTTAAAGCCATCCAGTCCCTGATGTCAGCCAGGCAGTCAAGCAGCGGTTGAGTCGAGCATGTACCATTGTGTCTTAAGGGGAAGTAAATTTGACAGTCATCGGCATAGAAGTGGAAAGGCATGTTGTGTTTCCGGAAAATAGCACCAAGCAGCCGCAGGTATAAAGAGAATACCAATTGAGGGCTGACCCTGTGACGCCCACCCACTGCTCCAACCTAGCAATGAGGATCTCATGATCGATGGTGTCGAAGGCAGCCGTGAGGTCCAATAGGACAAGCAGCACAGAATCATCAGTATCTGTGGATCTGAAGATGTCGTTAAAGACCTTCAGCAGGGCAGTTTCAGTGCTGTGGAGAGGTTTAAAGCCAGATTGGAATAGCTCTAAGATGGTGTGACCTTCCAGGAAGCACTTCAACTGGGACTCGACTATTTTCTCCAGTAGTTTAGAAACAAATGGGAGTTTGGAGACAGGCCGGAAGTTGGATACGACTGAAGGGTCAAAGTTTGTTTTTTTTCAGGAGAGGCTGGACAGCAGCATGTTTAAAGGATTTTGGCACCACGCCAGTGGATAAACTACTGTTTACTATATCAAGAATGGACGGACCTAGAGTGGGAAAAACCTCCTTTAGTAGTTGAGGGGGGACCACATCAAAGGGGGAGCCAGAAGGTTTCAAGCTGCACATGACCTGCTCTAGAGAAGATAGAGTGATGGGTTCAAAATGGTCAAATGGAGCTACAGACTGAGGTGGGATGGATGGGTCATGAGTTGGAGGGGAAATGAGAGCCCTGGTGGTCGCAATTTTTTCCAAAAAGAAATGTAAGAAGTTGTCGCACAGCTCAGTCGAGGCTTCCAGAGGTGATGGTTCAGTGAGGTTGAGAACAGAGTTTAGGGTGGAGAAGAGGACATTTGGGTTGTGAGAGTTTGAGGTAATTATATCAGAGAAGTATTTGGATTTTGCAGCTTTCACTATTTTCTGATAATGGTGCCAACTCTCTTTAAGTATTGAAAAGAGACCTGCAGCCAGTCTTTCCTCCACTTTCGTTCCGCCCTTCTACATTGCTGCCTAACGGCCTTGGTGACGTCACTCAGCCAAGGTTCTGCTCTGAGTTTTGATTTTTTTGGTTTTAACAGGTGCAACATGATCCAGAGTCTTTAAGCAGACAGAGTTGAACTGGGATGTCAGTTCCTCAGTGGTGGTGAGAAACACTGGGGGCTGAATTATCATTTCAGAGTTATAAACATCTGTGAAACGTGCGGCAGTGAAGGCTGGAACTGACGTGATGCTTTGAACCATCCCTTCATCACGATGGCTCATCTTGCTAAATGCAAAAAGAAGTCTTACGTGGACTTTAGTCATGGCAATAATAATAATGGAAGTATGCCAACTCAGCGATCAACCTGCTTTGGCTTCTGATCGTGAAGGGAGAAATAGCCCTCAACCAGGTCCCAGTTCTTTTTACCCACACACAAACTGGTCCAAATGTTCAGAAGAGTTAGTGGATCCCACAGTGAGTCTCAGCACGGTTTCAGGTTCTGGCTCTGATTCCCCAGTCAGTAGAAGTGTCCCAGCCTCTGTCAAAGTCAACGATACAGAATGCCATCAAGCAGCAAGTTCAACTGAAAGTCTAAATAATGAGAAGAACCTTCAAGAAACACACAGGTGCTGTTCAGGGTCAACAGAGAAGAAAAACCTTCAGGAGGGTTAGACAATTTGGTGCCAGAGATTTTAACCTCCATAATTTCCTGAGTTTGGTGTGATACAGCAATCTCTGGTTTTTATCTGGACGTGGTTCTGTGCTTCAATCCATTCTGGTTCTGTAGAACAAGGGTCCACATAATTACATACAAATCAAAATGGAACGAAGCACAAACACACAAAACAATACAAGCCCTACAAAAATAGGGTTGCACTTTGGACCAGACATGTTTTCCACGTGCTCTTTGGAGTTTTCTCCGGGATGCTCCGGTTCCCCACAAAAAAAAAACCCAACAACTTTGTCCACCACCATCTGAACCAGTTGTTCTGTTTGTCTGTCCTGCAGGTGACACAGATGACCGTCCACCCTGAGTCCGGTCGGTCCTGGTTCGTGTAGAACATGCACGTTCAATAATCCAGGTAAAAAAACTAAACAGGTTAAGTCAGGTCCTCTGGAGGGATTCTTCTCTGTTGAAATGTTTTGTCTTTTTTCCAAAACGCTTCTTCAGTCCATTAAACATAATTTGACACACAAATTACACACAGAGCGAAACGAAACGACGCACAAACGCACAAAACAATAAAGGCCCTACTGCACTGTGGACCTGCCATGTTTTCCTTGTGCCCTTTGGGGTTTTCTCCGGGACGCTCCAGTTCCCCACTAACATTAAAAAAACAACAACTTGTAACTACTTTGTCCTTCAACATCTGAACCAATTATTCTGTTTGTCTGTCCTGCAGGTGACAAAGATGACTGTCCACCCTGAGTCCAGTCTTGGTTCTTGTAGAACACCATTCAACATATCCCGATGCATGTTCAATAATCCAGGTAAAAAAAAACTAACCAGGTCTTCTGGAGGGATTCTTCTTTGTTGAAATATATATACATATATATATATATACATATATATATATATATATATGTATATATATACATATAAATATATATATGTATATATATATACGTTTATTTTCTAAACATAACATCCCAGTGGCTTTTAAACCCCAAAATACATTACGGCAAAGACTGGTTCATCCCAAAGATCCAGTCCCCCGGCACAAACAGAGTAATGTTGTGTATGCTGTTCAGTGTCAGGAGGGCTGTGATCAGTCTTACATCGGGGAAACTAAACAGCCACTGGCCAAAAGGATGGCCCAGCACAGAAGATCAACATCATCAGGCCAGGACTCTGCGGTCTACACTCATCTCCAGGCCAGCGGTCACTCTTTCAGGGATGAAGATGTTCACATCCTGGACAGAGAGGAACGATGGTTTGAGAGAGGAGTAAAGGAGGCCATCTTTGTGAAAAGAAATCGTCCATCATTAAACAGGGGTGGAGGCCTCCGGGTTCAACTGTCCCCCTCTTACAATGCTGTGATTGCTAGTATCACTCAGCCCTCTGTGAACAGTAAACAGCCATCAGTGTGCTAATGACCCATTGTTAGGCTGATGGTCCTTCTTGAGCATGTGATCAGCTGGTTTTGGTTGTCAGCAGCAAAACTGGTTGATCCACCCTGAGAAGGTGCTATTTAAGAGACTGAGCTGAATACAGCACCTCAGACTGAAGAAGTCTCTCGGATGAGAGACGAAACGTTTCTACAATTTTTGATGTTTTGCTTTGTTTTGGTTTTTTTTTAATGTCCAGAGGACCAGATTTAACTTTTTTAGATTTTTCTACCTGGATTATTGAGCATGCATCAGGATAAAACAGTTATAATTTCTTAATGTATAATGATTTAAAATTCAATTAAACTCTGTTTATTTATATAGCGCCAAGTCACAACAGAAGTCATCTCAGGGCACTGAACAAAAACATTCATATATAAAAATAATAATTTAACATTATTTATCTGAGGAGCAGACTGCTTTGAATTTAACTCCATCACAGAACTCTCATCTTGAACAAGCACGAAGGAGACAGTAGAAAGAAAAACTCCCTCATGAGGAAGAAACCTTTAGCAGAACCAGGATCAGGACAAGCGGCCATCTGCTTCGATGGACTGAGTTTGAGAGGAACAGATACACAATGGCAGGTCAAGAATCACGTTGATAGAAATAGAATCAATTAAAAACTATTCAATTTTAACAATTCATTCAAGGAAATGAGGTCAATTTGTCCTCCAGTAGTCTAAGTTTAAGGCAGCATAACAAGCCAACCCTAACTATAGGATTTATCAAAGAGGAAAGTCGTAAGTTCAGTCTTAAAACTGGACAATGTGTCAGCCTCACAGACAGAAACTGGAAGTTGGTTCCACAAGATAACTGAAAGATCTTCCTCCCATTCTGACAGTTAAAATTAAAAGGTCAACTATTTTTAGGTCAATTAAACTTTCACCAAAATAATTTTTTGTATTATCAGCTCCTGCCGAAAGGTGAAGGTGGACAATATGTCTGTGTCTGGTACCAAAATACGCCATGAACCCCTGGATGAGTGTTGATGAAAGTTGCAGAAAATAATTATATCTACAACTGATTATCTTTTGAAGTCAAACTACCGTACACAAAAATGGCTGTCACAGCTAACTCAATGTTAAAAACACAAAAAAATGGCTTTGCTAAAATCTGATGTACAGTAATACCAGTTTAGCTGAGTCACAGCTAAAACTTAATTATTTCTCAACATAAGTTGATTTTAGTGTTGAACTCTGGCACGAAAGAAGGCGGGTGAAGTTTTCACTGGTACTGGAATTTATTTGATCATTAAAAAGAAAAGAAAATGTGAGAACACTACAAACGTATTTCTAAAGGAGCCGTCATTGTGACATAAATGTGTGCAACACTTGAGTACACGTGAAGACAACACAGACTAGAGTTAAAGCATGTAAAAAGCTGCTGTGTGGACATATTTCAACCTGTAGCGTGATCACAGTGCAATCCTTTTCTGTTTACATTTAATCAGTTTCATTCAACAGACCCTGTGGCAGATCAATAAAAATCTGGCAACATATAAAATAGACAAGCTAAAATCATGACAGTTGTAAAAAGTGAACATGTACATGTGCTGTTCAGTCTAACACATGATGAAGGTGTTCATTCTGAATCGCTCAGTCTTCCCATGAGAGCTCCGGTAGGATTGTTTAGGTTGGTGAAGTGATCTGAAAAAAAAATTCAGTGACACCTGTTAGTTCATGACTTTGTCTTAGTTCGTATTAGTTCTAGTCTAATTCTCTTATACTGATTATCTTTAAATGATAAGGCTAGAGTCTGTTCTTTCTGTCAGTGCATCTTAATCTCTTGACAAACTCGATCAGCCCTCTCAGTCATGTTAAAACTAAATTGTTGTGTAAATTGTCTAAACACATTAGCAATGTCATTTAAAGAACTGTGGTGTTATTTTTGATCAGGATATGTCGCTTAACCTCCACATTCAAAACGTTACCAGGACGGCTTTCTTCCATCAGTTTAATATTTCTCAAATTAAAAACCAAGAAAAGCAGACACCTGCATTTATCACTTCTAGGTTGAATCATTGTAATTCTTCATTATCAGTGTCCAAATACTTCTTTAATAAGTTTTCAGTTGATCCAAAATGCTGCTGCCAGAGTCTTAACTGTTAAAAGGGAGTTTTTCCTTTCCACTCGCACCAATGTGCTGCTCAAGATGAGAGACTGCAACGAAGTGAACATTCAACACAATCGGCTGGCTTGCTTAGACAACTTTTAGCAATTGGCATTTTATAATGTTCAGTGCCCTGAGATGATTTCTATTGTGAATTGCATCTATAGAAATTACCTGAATTGAATTGTTAGTAAACATGAATGAAAAGACAAGGGAGGCAAAAGATTACATTTGAACATATTAAAGACAGTGTGTATTATTTTTACATTTACATTTTAGAGTGACTTGTTAGTTGGTAGAGCTGCTGCTTCTCAGCGAGCAGGTCCCCGGTTCAAATCCCCGTCCGGGAGCCTTTCTGGGTGGAGTTTGCATGTTCTCTCCGCGCATGTGTGGGTTTTCTCCTGGTGCTCCAGTTTCCTCCCACAGACTCAAAACATGCATGTTAGTCTGACTGGTAACTGTAAATTGTCCCTAGGTGTGAGTGAGAGAGTGAATGGTTGTTTGTCTCTACGTGTCCCTGTGATGGACTGGAGACCTGTCTAGGGTGTCCCTGCCTCTCGCACAGTGACTGCTGGACGTGGGCACCAGTGTCCCCTGCGACCCAAAAAAGGAAGAAGCGGGTAAAAGATAATGGATGGATGGATGTTTTTAAGGTTGAGGATAGGAATCAAGCTCAGGTTCAGGGTGCAGAAAAGTATTTATGGTTATAAATTTAACGGTGAGTGGTAAAGTTGTGGTAGAGGACGAGACTGCATCCCTGACTTTCCTTTCTGGGCTGCAGAAATAAACCTGTGAGTGTGTTTATGTGCTCGACTCACCTGCAGCAAACTGAAAAACGTCAGCCGGTTTTTGAAGAAGCAGCTTTCTGTTTGAGGAGAAAAGGAGAGGACTAACTAAACAATTGGTGTCTGGTGTTTGCTGTGATGCATCATTTTTAAAGGTTCACAGCCAAATGTGCTTTACTGCAGGCATTCCTCTGCTCTTAGAATATCATTTAAACTGATAAAATAAATAGGCAGGGGGAGAGAGTGAATGGCTGTTTGTCTCTATGTGTCCCTGTGATGGACTTGCAACCTGTCCAGGGTGTCCCTTGCTTTTCGCACAGTGATGGCTGGACATGGACACCAGTGACCCCCGCGACCCACTATGGAAGAAGCGGGTAAAATGGATGGATGCAGGGGAAGGCTGCATAAAAAGCAATAAATAATTCAGCTTAAATAGGCAAAGAACTTTATCAGAGAAAACTGTTGTCTGAAATATTATACATTACATATATTTTAGTTCAGCAAGTGATTTTTAGTTTAGCTAGCAAAAACAGACAGATTTAAGACTTTATCCTACTTGGAAATAAACTGTTAAATCACATTCAGGCCATCTAGTTTGACAGATTGGAATTAGTCACATATGTAAACTAAACACAACAAGATCTGTCCTTACACTTTTTTATTGAGTAGGTTGCTAAACAAATACAAAAAGTGCTTTTTATTCATTTTACCCTTCAAAGCTGATGCATATAGGCTAGTTTGAAAAGTCTGATGAAGCCTCTTTTAAAAGCTTTTAATGTCACTAAAACCAATAAAACAGCACTAGTGTAAAACACAGAAGATCTGTTCACCTTTTGGTCATTTTGTAATTTATTTTTCAATTTGTGAAACTGGTTTGACCTGTTTTAATGGTTTCGACACTGTAAGTACAGTTCAGAACTTTTGGATCGTTTTTAATTTAATAAAAGGTCTCAGATTTAGAATAGTTTAATAAGCACAACTTTAAAAGCAAACTTGCGAACTCTGAGACACCACATTGGTAATTAATTAATTAATTAATTCCCTCTGTTTTGACTTGTAAAAGACAAGTTAAATAATTTTGGTCCTTGTTAACAAGGACTTGGACGCCAGTACCTCTTGTTTTGCACCCAAGTCAAACTGAAACAATATAATCGTTAAAAATGAGCAAACCTTAAAAATTCATCAAGCATTTCCTTTACTTCAGGGTGTGTTCTCAAATAATTCTCGTTGTTGGTTCTGATCTTCATCTATAAATTAAAACAAAAACGCATTTTGAAATTGACGCGCAGTTTCTGAGTAGCTAAAGTTAGCGGTTAGCTGCTTAAAAAAAACAAAAAACCGGAGAGGAAATTACCTTTAACTGTCGCAGTTTCTCTTGCTGCTCAGCACTTAGCACGCCTTTTCCATCCACAAGGTCCATTTTTTGTGCTAGTTTTTGTACCTTACAGCTCAGTGTGTGCAATGTAAACTATGTTCGTTCAGCTGGAAATCAAACGAACGTTCATCGTCTCCGAGAGATGTTGCCATGGAAACGGCTGCGGTTAACGGCTAGCTCCGCGAGGTGGCAACCGCTAGCCAGGAAGAAGAGTGCAGCGTTCAGCTGAATTTTAATTAAATCCAGTCTGAAATAGAAGTTTGGTAAAAGCAAAATTTTAGGAGCAATTAAAACTATAATTTCAATGCAGACTGAACGTTTAACGGCTTGTTTCATCAGCATTTGCCGGCTGCAGTTACATTATTGTCCACCAGATGGCGCTGTTGGACAAGAGGCAGTGTGTGACAGTCAATTTAATTCAAATTAATTTCAGTTTATTCATATTAGCTCCAAGTCCCAACAGACGTCGTCTCAGGGCACTGTACAAAAACATTCACATATGTTAAGCTGATAAGCAAAGGTTATCTGTCTAAGGAAGCCAGCAGATAGTGTTGAATTTGCAATTTGTCACAGTCTCCCATCCTGAGCGAGCACAAAGGCAACAGTGGAAAGGAAAAACTCCCTTTTAACAGGAACCTCCAGCAGAACCAGGCTCAGGATGAGCGACCATCTGCTTCGACTGGCTGGGGTTTGAGAGGACAGGAAGGAGAAACAAACAAACACAGAATGGCAGGTCCAGGTGTAGTTTCTATAGGAGGAAAAACAACAACAAAAAAAACATGTGTTAAGATAGAAATAATTACAAATACAAACAGGTGGAGTACTTTTAATTTTAATATTCTCTGGCTTAGAGAACCTGAAGCTGCAAAACTCTGGTTTTAAAAGCTTTCTGAACAAACTTTTAATACGAATAATACCGTCAGGATAGTGTTCATCAGAATGAACGTGATAAAATTTTAGTGATATGTACACAAGGTAGAAAGAAAACTGGCCATTACAGTTGATAGCTTAATCAAGAACGCTTGATTGCAAGAAATCCCCCCAAGAAACCAAACAACGTAAACATATTTAAAAACAAATGGTTACATAATGTTATATACAGTCTATACAAATTGTTCCCTGAGTTTCCCTTCAGCGCACTCAAAAAGTTCCTTTTTATACCTTGACACCTGTATTTTTGGCTCTAAAGTGCAAAACAACCCGTAAAAAGCTGTCCAAATGTCTGTCTTTGTTCACAACTCACTCTGTAGAAAGAAATAACTTGTGTTGTTAAAGTTCATGGCTTCTATCCTGCCTGTCACAGTCTGTTCTTCCTCATTTTCATCCTCTTCTTGCATGTCACTTGGCGGGCATTCCTCGTAAAGCTGGGGGAGAAAGGTCGTCACAGTCTCCTCCTTTGTGGCTGCTGGGGCAAGGGGTGAAGGTGGAGACAAGTCACCACACCAGGTGATGACATGAAGTTTGTGGAGCTTAGACACAAATTTGTCCTTGTGTCTGAAATAAAACAAAAATCACAACAAATAAAATGAGAACATGTTGCCTGATTTTACTGCCTGAGCTGTGATTTCTAACAAGTACTTGAATTTACTGGCTATATTTAATTTAAATTGGATTGGACATTGTTTACATATAAAAATAAATCAGATTTCACAGATTTCAATACCTGAAAATGTAGATTGCAAAGATGGCTGATAAAAAGGCAAAAGAAACAGAAATCCAAAGCACATAATGTGGTATCTTGCCTGGAGCATCTGAGTTGAGACACGAGTCATTTTCAAAACCTGTGGCAAAAAGAGGAGAAAACTGTGAGAAATATTTAAACATGTATAATCTTCACAGCACGGTGGTATAGTGGGTGTTGGAACCATGTCTCCTGTGGCCTGTCTTGTTGTTGATTCTCAGTTTTTATGGTTGAGACATGGTTTCCTGTTCAAACCCAGTGAGACAGAGAGGAGCTTCAGCACTAACTGTGGCAGTCTCTCTCTCCTACGCTACCTTCAAGGCAGTCATCATCCGGTAAACCAGAGCCCAAGTCTTCCAGGGTGGACAAATCAACCTGCAAGATAAAAAGAAACAAAACAAGACAAAATGATCAACAATGAAGGACAATTAGAGCAAAACAAAGTAGAAATGAGGCTTTATTAACAGTTCAAACTCTCACCATCGTGGTCGTAGAATAGTCAGTCTCTACAACTTCAGCTGAGGAGACACAAGAGCATAAACAAATCAAAAACACACTCTAGATCCTCAACTGGTGGGTCATGACCACAAAGTGGGTCTCAGACCTGTATTCAGTGGGTCACAGGTCTTTGCCTGGGCAACAAAATATAGTAAGAGAAAAAAAAAGCAACTTTCTCATTGTTGTGTCAGTTTTATGGTTAATGCTTGAATAAGTGACTGAATCATTTTCACAAGACATTGTTACGCTTTTAATGTGTCCTATATATTTTGAGTGTTTTTTTTAAAACTAATTGTCCGTAGTTGGGCTTTTTTATTTCATATTTGCATTAGAGAACTGCTGACTTTGTTAAAAAAAAGGCTGAAGGGGGGACTTCCGGGAACGCCATCATGGCCGCAGCTTAAAAGGCGAGCTCCTCGACCCAGATCTTTGTAAGCCCGATTAATTTGATAATTTTTCAACGAAAAGTCCGAAATATAACATTTAAAAAGGGGCATTTACTATGACTAGAGGGAAATACGGCAGAAAGTCTCAAAAACCCGAGTTAGACGACAGAGAGGTCGACGGTAACGAAGCGGTAGCTTTGAAGCTAGCTGACTCAGCTAAAGAAGTAACAGAGGACCCGGAGCTGAATGTAAAGACTCAAACCGCAGAGCCCCGTTCCGACTTTAACATGGCAAATTTGGAAACGATTCTCCAGGAACTGCGAGATTTCCGTAAAGAAAACTCTGAAGCTCTAAAAGGAATTAAGGAGGAGATTAAAGTAGCTAACAGCCGCATTGATAAAGCAGAGAACCGGATAGAAGAAACGGAGGAGCGATTGCAGCACATTGAGGAGGCTGCAATGGAGCTTCTGGAGCTACAGAAACGGTTCGAAACACGGTTGGTGGATCAGGAGGGACGTTCAAGGAGGGAGAATGTACGGATTCATGGACTCAAGGAGGGGGCGGAGGATGGCGCTGGATCGATGACGGAATTTGTGGAGAAACTTCTGAGAGAGAAGCTGGAGCTGCCGCCATCTTTTCCCTTCCAGATAGAGAGAGCCCACCGGGCTCTGCCGCCGCGACCCTCCCCGGACTCACCACCGAGATCGATAGTGGTAAAGTTCATGAGCTTCAGGGTGAAAGAAGAGATCTTAAAGAAGGCATGGCAGAAGAAAGGATTCATGTATGAGGGGAAAAAAGTTTTTCTGGAGCATGACTATGCCCCGGAAGTGCTGAAGAAACGAAAGGAATACACAGAGGCGAAAAGAGTCCTGCGAGAGAAGAAAATACGGTTCCAGACGCCATTCCCGGCGAGACTGCGGGTTTTCTATGAGGGAGAGACTCGGATCTACAGCACGGCTGAGGAGGCGACCAAAGACATGGCGGAACGAGGGCTGCAGGTGGCGGTGACCAGACCGGAGGAGAACAGCTTGGAGAAGATCAGACGCCTGACATGGAAGACCATCGGGGCCAAGAAAGGAGGACAGACACCGAGAGAGACAATAGAAAGATACAAACAACGATTGCAAGGTTTTAGGAGAAGTCAGGATGAGATTTAAGGATCACTGCCTTTTAAAATAAGGTATTTAAGATATTTGTTTTTTGGATGGGTCTATTCAAGTTGGAGGGGAAATATAACCCGGGGCGTAGGGAATAATGAATCGGGTCAAGATAACGGAATTATTATTTTTTATTACGGATTTCCTGAAGGAGTTTTTTTTTTTTTTTTCATTAGGGTCGGGGCATCCTCCCTTTTGTGTGTGTGGACATTAGGGTGGTGGTGCAAGCATGAACAAAGCTAACTGCAATAAGAAGGGCCCACTCCCTCTGGTAGGGAGAGGAATTCCCTTTTGGCAGGCTTTCCATCACGGCTTACAAAGGGTCAAAGTTCAGACCCCACTCTTGGAAGTTCTTTGGTTAGACACTAGTTCACCAGTGGAAGTTTTGAAAATGTTCAGTTGTGTGTGCATTATTACTTTGTTTATCTGTAGCTTAAGGGTCCTTCAAGGTGCAGAAAAGGTGGAAAATAAGGAATCGCAAGGAGTAAATGACAACACAGAAAAAGGTATTAAAGTTGGCCTCTTTTAATGTGAACGGGATGCTCAACCCAGTTAAAAGATCTAAAGTATTAGGTAAAATGAAAAGGGAGGGGGTGGGAGTGGCACTGCTGCAGGAGACGCACCTGACAGCGAAGGAACATGAGAAGCTAAAGAGAAATGGTTATAGTCAAGTATTTTACTCATCTTATAAATCAGGCCGTAGGAGAGGAGTCGCAATCCTTATATCGGGAAAATCTGTATTTGAAAAGTTGTCAGAAACAATAGACAAAGAAGGGAGATACGTGCTGATAAAAGGGAGATTAGAAGGAGAACTGGTTACTATCCTGAACATGTATGCTCCCCCAGGCTCTGAATGGTCCTTTTATAGAAAGATGTTTGATTTAATGGCAACTGAGGGAGAAGGCATTATAATATGTGGTGGAGATTTAAACCTCAGGTTGAACCCACAACTAGATTGTTCGGATGGTGGGAAGCAAAAATCTGTAATTAGCAAAAAATTTAAAGAGTTAATGGCAGAACTGGGAATAATGGATGTCTGGAGGGAGCTAAATCCATCAGGCAGAAATTACACATACTTCTCACCACCTCACTCAGTTTATTCAAGAATCGACTATTTCTTTATGTATGATAAGGATCGATACAGAGTGGAAAATTGTGACATTGGAGTAAGGGATGTATCAGATCATAGTCCAGTATATATCACCCTGGAAGTGTCAACAGAAACAAAAACAACAATGTGGAGACTAAATGCAGGCTTATTACAGGGGAATATGAAGGAAGAACTTGCGAAAGAAATTGATATATATGTAAAGGAAAATAATAATGGGGCGGTATCCCCAGCTACGCTGTGGGATGCATGCAAAGCAGTACTTCGTGGGAAGCTAATTGCCAAATCAGCATATTTAAAAAGGCAAAAGCAGGGTAAACTTAGAGAATTACAATTGGAATTAAAAGACTTAGAAAAACAACACAAAAACTTCTCTCTGGATGAAAAAAGATCTCAAGAAATTAAAAGAATACAAACGGAGATAAACTGCATTTTGGAAGATGAAATAAAAAAAAACCTTCTGTACACAAAACAAAGGTATTACGAAGGAGGAGGTAAATCAGCTAAATTACTAGCTTATAGAATGAAAAAGCAAGTGGCAAATAATAATATTTTCAAAATTAGGGACTCCTCTAACTTGATCAAATATAAGACAGAAGAGATTCAGAATTGTTTTGAAAACTATTATAAAAAATTATATTCACAAGCAGAAATTAATAATGATAATCAAATACAGACATTATTGGAATCTCTGAATTTACCAAGAATAACGGAAGATCAAAATCGTATATTAACAAAGGAGATTACAGAAGAAGAAATAGACTCAGAAATTTCAAGATTGAAAACCAACAAGGCTCCGGGGACAGATGGTTACCCGTCGGAATTTTATAAATTGCTAAGAAAACCGTTGATCCCCTTGCTAAAAAATACGTTTAATTGGGTCTTAAAAGAGGGAGAGACACCAAGGTCATGGAGGGAAGCTTTTATTGCGGTTATTCCAAAGGAAAGAAAAGATCAATTAGACTGTGCCAACTATAGACCAGTTAGCGTCCTAAATTTAGACTATAGAATATTTACAGCAATTATGGCTAGACGACTAGAGGTAATTCTGCCGGACATAATTGATTTAGACCAAACAGGATTTATAAAGAAAAGACAGACAAAGGATAATATTAGGCGCACATTGCTGGTAATGCAAAAGATTATTAAAACAAGAACAGAAGCGGTAATATTGGGATTAGACGCAGAAAAAGCTTTTGACTCGGTCAGGTGGGACTTCCTATATAAGGTGGTAGAACAATTTGGTTTTAACAAAACATTTATCAAAATTATTCAAGCACTATATTACCAACCCACAGCTAGGGTCAAAATTAATGGGAGCCTTTCAGAAACATTTAGATTACATCGAGGATGCCGCCAAGGCTGCTCAATTAGCCCACTGCTGTTTGCAATATATTTAGAACCTTTAAGCCAATGGATAAAACAAAACGGAAATATAAAGGGTATATGTATGGACGGAGGGGAACAAAAGATAGCATTATTTGCAGATGATGTTTTAATTTACCTATCTCAACCAGGCACGTCACTTCCAGCACTAATTAGTATAATGGATGAATTTGGGCTGATGTCAGGTTACAAATTAAACACAAAAAAGACCCAGGTTCTTTCTTTCAACTATTCACCTGACCAATTCATTAAAAACACATTTAGTTGGGATTGGCAGTCAAATTCTCTGAAATACCTCGGAGTGTTTCTGTCCCATGACTTATCTGAACTAAAATCTTTAAACTTTAGCCCCTTGGTGTCGAGAATAAAGTCAGATATGGGAAGGTGGAGTCTAATCCCCTTTACAAGCTTAGTGTCAAGAGTAGAAATGATTAAAACAAATGTGTTGCCAAGGTTACTGTATTTATTTACATCTCTCCCAGTTGAGGTGACGGATAAAGAATTTGCAGAATGGGATAAAATTATATCGAGATTCATTTGGCAAGGAAGGAAACCACGGGTCAGATTCAGAACTTTGCAGTTATCGAAGGATAAGGGGGGGCTAGCCTTACCCTGTCTGAAGAGCTACTATATTGCAGCACAGTTGAGTACTCTACTGAACATATGTAATCCATTATATTCTGCAAAATGGAAAGATATAGAATGCGCCATGTCACCCAAGATTCCTCTACAAGCCATAATAAATGATAACAAATTGAGAAAACACCTCAGGAAGGAATCAAATCCATGGCTAGGATTATCTCTTGACATATGGAATAAAATTATCGTTAAATATGGGTTGACAGAGCAGGGTAGAGTACTAAGGTGGATAGCTCATGACTCAGATTTTAAACCTAATGTAACAGACAAAACATTTAGTAAATGGGAAAAGGGTCCAAAGATAATCTGGGAGATGGTTAAGAAAAATACTATACAAAGCTTTG